GCATGTTTTCCCAAAGGGCAGGTATGGTGCAAGCTACCATCGCCGCTGGACGACGACGACGACCACCACCACCACCACCACGACCACTACCACCACCACGACCACTACCACGATCACGACCACGACCACGACCACGCGACCACGACCACGACCACGACCACGACCACACGACCACACGATTACACGACCACACGACCACACGACCACACGACCACACGACGACGACGACTGCTACTGCTACTGCTACTGCTACTGCTACCACTACTACTACTACTACTACTACTACTACTACTACCATGAGTACTACTACGACTACGACTACTACTACAACTACATACTACATACTACATGCTACATACTACATACTACATACATACATACATACATACGTACGTACATACATACATACATACATACATAAAAATACTACTACTACTACTATGACCACTACCACTACCACTACCACTACGACTACGACTACTACTACTACTTCTACTTCTACTTCTACTACTACTACTACTACTACGACTACTACCTACTACCTACTACCTGCTACCTAATACTTACCTACTACCTACTACATGCTACTTACTACTCGCTACTCACTACTCACTACTCACTACTCACTACTACTACTACTACTACTACTACTACTACTACTATGACTACTACTATGACTACTACTACTACTACTACTACGACTACTACGACTACTACCTACTACCTGCTACCTAATACTTACCCACTACCTACTACATGCTACTTGCTACTGCTGCTGCTGCTGCTACTACTACTACTACTACTACTACGACGTAGGCAAACATATTCAATACACGGAGTGTGTGGAACGATGTATTGATTTTTTTAATTAAGACCCATCAACATCGATCAACAGACACTATTCTTGGAGCATCTTTGATGTGGAAACCTATGGCTTGAATTTTGCCCTTCCTCAGGCCGGTGAGTTTGGAGGTGTGACCGAGGTCCACGTGCCTCGTCTCGCGGCTTGCATGCATATGGACAACGGGTGATCAGCGATGTCTAGGCCCAGGTTCGGTTTTGCAACCGATGTTAACCAGTAAAGTAGGAGCAGTGCCATGGAAATATCATGAGATTGGTATTTCATGAGATGTGAGGTGACGCGTGGTTTAGGGCTAGGTTTCGATGCGAAGTTGTTCTATTTTCAATGGTTTTTGTGCACTCACTCGTCATGGGGGACAACATCCTACATTTTCCGAGTCGACTCTCAAACGTCCATTTGGCGGCCATAGAAGTTATAGCAGGGATTACTATAGTTTTGACAAACACATGAACGACTCTTAGAAGTGGCTTTCAGTGGCCAGATCACCTTACGTACATGAGAATCACTGGCAACATATACTGGATCCCGAGTGGGAAGATCCGCCTGTCACTTGATTAAGGAACTCCTGGGTGTTTTGATCCTCCTCCCAGATTGTTTTCAAAAGGACGAGTATATGTGTATAAATGATTATAAATGTGTTAATTAGATCCACTGAAGCGGAACATCTGAGTCAACAAGAGGGATGCTTTCCGAATCCTTCCGAAGACCCTGACAATAGATAGATGGCACGAAGTTTCGGTGATAGCAACATGGTCTATGTGAAGATTGTGATGGTTGTTTTCAGAGGGGTCACCAGTTTCCACTCAGATGTCTCTGAAGACGGTGATGCGCAGGCTGTCGGAATGAGGCGAAGAAGACGTCCGTTTCACGCGACATTAGGGCGTTTCCATTCGACGCTCCATGGATGGAATCGATGAATATCTACTTACTCCCCTGCTATTTGGACCACATGAACCCCCAAGACCACGAGGTTGGTCTTCGGAAAATGGTCTGTTCAGAACAAGATCCCTGGGATCGTATGGGGGGGTGGTACATGAATCAGTCATTGGCATCATTCGAGCATGGGGTCAGTGTAACCACTCCAGTCCCATCCACCATGGATGGTCTAGGATCGATTCATTCCACAGGGCTTGGCTTCCGCTCCAAAGCCAGCCACGAGAAAGCCAGCCGGGCCAACGAGAAAGCCAAGCCCTGGCAGACTTGGGGACACTCACGAAAGCTTGCCGAGATGTCCTGAAATGCTGAAATTCTAGGTGTTGTAGATGTCCTTCCTCCTTGTCAGTCACGGACTTTGCCAATCTTTCTTCCTTGTGAGGGCACGTGCTGTTTTGTCAGCTTGGCTTGCTTGTGTGTGAGTGACAACGTAGCGGAGCTGCGCTGTTTGCATATAATGTGAAATTGCACAAGATGGTGGCGTGCTATCGATTGCCTTCAGCTTGAGCATTCAAGTCAAAAATTGTTTGCACATTGACCGCAATGCAAGGCCAATATGCATCATACAGACAAACCGCCTTGTGCAGACGTTGATTTTTTCCATGTCCCAACAGATGATTCCGGATGTTTCCATATTGTCTTGACATCCCCAAGCTCTTTTTGCAACCAGCGCTTCCATGTCCTGTGTACTTGCCAGCAGGAAGGAACCGCCTCCAAACGGCCTTCAAACGGCCTTGGGGCAAAAGGTGGCGAAGTGCGCGAATCTTTTGACGGTGAATCTGGACGTTGAACCATTTTTTCGTTAAAGCATCCAAAGCCAGACACTCCGTGTATATGAGTAATTACATTGAGCTGAAACCACCCCAATGTAGGTAAATATGAGTCACCAGTTCTGACTTCCCCACTTATTGAGGGGATTTGACACCACGAACAGAACAGGCAGTTTGGTCAATTGATGCCGTGAGTTGGGTGCCAACGCATTCAACGCACTGGGACTGAGTACTCTCAGTATGCATCAGACAGTTGCTATCCCAGAATTGGTTTAAGGGAACATCTACAGGAGACCCATAGTTTTGGGGGTGCAAACCACGGTCTCATAGATTTTTTTTGCTTTAACCAATTCCGGGATGCAAAAAGCAGGTTACTGGCTTTGTGATCGGACATGTTTGGTCGCACACGGTGCACGTGCACGATGTCGGAGGGCCGACACCAGATCGGTGACGTTAACCAGTACTTTCATGAGTCTCCATGTCTCCGTTCAGGATGTGGCAAACCCAAACCCAACAAGAGAAGGTGACCCAACAGGACAGTGGAGTGATTTTGATGCTTGATCTTGAATTCGAATGACACCTCCGATGTATGTCAGTCACGGCGGAGCGCCTTTTCGTCCGCTTGTTATCGGTTTCCCCCCTCCGCAGATCGGCGGCAGCCTCCTGGCGGTTCATGGCGGTTTATCGCCATCCCTGCATCACTTGGATCAGGCAACGTACGGGCATCGCTACGTGGCATCGCATCGCATGGCATACGCGTTACGCGTGACGGTCATTTCGACGTTCGCTTTAGGACCGGCTTAGTAAGTAGCAAAGGTCATTGCTACCTACGTAACAAGGGAACCGATGACTGATGTTTCTCCCACGCGGTTCCCCCGCGCGTGCAGACGGCGCGTGGTTTCTTTTGGTTCCACGGCATAAAACCACGGGACGGGACGGGACGAAGTCAGAACGGCGTCGTTTACAGCGTGGAGGAGGGGCGCTGTTTTGGCTGATGTGCTTTGATGATTGTGGAATATGATTGTGGATATGACTTTCAATGTCGGCTCAGCGGTTTTTCGTTGCACACTTGGGAGATCGCATGAAATCGCAGTAAGCGTTCAAAGGTTCAAAGAACGAGATTGGTCATTATATATTCTAGTAGCATGAAGAAGCCATTGTGAGAGGGATCGGCGTCTCCGCACAATCCGCACCACCCGCACCATCCGCACCACCCGCACCATCCGCACCATCCGTGCACCCCGCACCATCCGCGCCACCCGCACCATCCGCACCACCCGCACCATCCGCACATGGCATTCTCATGCCTATTCTGGGGGACCGTGAAAGATTGTTCTGGCAGAGTGGGTCGTCCGAGACTGCAGCAGCGGGTTTGAAGCTTTGCTTCTTCGATCAAAACTTTCAGCAAGGGCTGAAGCTAAGTTGGCCTGGTGCAGTGTCAACCGATAGGCTGTTTCGCTTGGGTCGGAATGAGCCGGTGATATCATTGCAGTGCCACCCACTGGCAATCTAATTGCAAAGCTGGTTGGGTTTGAGGGACTGAGGAATGAGACGGGGATTGCGCAAGATGTCCGAAGCAAATACCAGGACTTTTTGGCCATGGCGCAGACGGACAGTGCTGCAGACAGCACCACCTCCCACAACCCCAACGGATATGATGGTCGCAGCTACACGTTTGCCCGTAACGCTTGCGCAGCGCGGGCAATCTGTGTCCAGCGAACACAGAGTGCGCGTACAGTGCTGCAGACGGCGCACGGCGGCGCAGACGGTGCACGGCGCAGACGGCGCACACTCACTCAGGGGCAGTCCATACATGTAGCTGGCTAGGGGTAGTCCATTGGTAAGCCTTTACATCCCTGTCACGTAGAAGTGTAGCAGGCTAGGATTGCCATGGAGTTGGGAGCCTTCTCGCATCGACCCGGAGCGTGAGAAGTTGGCCTTCGACACATATGCCATGAAGTTACGTACCTTAAAACTCTTGGGCAGCACTTTCCCATGACTTAGTTAGTCTGTTTTGGGAGGTCTTCAAGTGAATCCTCGGACTCGGATGGCTTCTCCCACTGTCCGCATTTGAGGGAAGAAAAGGAACCCAACCGTCTCCGCCCAACTGTGCCCAACTGTCCCCGGCGTTCCCTGAGCCCCGCTGGACTCCATCGGTGAGCCCCGTTCGCTTCGCGTCCGAACGCTCCTAGCGATGCCACGAGGTCCTAGGTAGCTTCTTAGTTCCTACTAGTAAGGCCAGGAGCCCCTTGTAGCTTCTTGTTACTACTAGTAAGGCACTTGTTACTAGAAGCGATGCCCTTTGCTCCTAATAGCTTCTTGTTCCCTAGTAGTAAGGCCAGGAGCCCGTTCGGTTCGCGTCCGAACGCTCGTCGCAGATTCGCCTCCTGGACCGCTTTTCGGAGATCCCCCACGATGGGCCGCTGGCCGATCTCATGTGGTGCCTGAGCAGAGGGCGAGCGGTGTGCGGCGTTCGGCGTGGTGTGCGGTTCGACCATGCGGTACGATGCGTTGGGGGTGGTGGGTGAGTGTGGTGGGTGAAAATCAGGTCTGAACCAACACCAGTCTTGAGTGTCCCTGATGAAAGACTCGAAAGACTCCTTTTTCACCTTCATGAACTGTTGGGCTGATTTTGTGAGTCACACAGTTTGTTCGCAAGGTCTCGCTGCTCGGTTTTCAGATGTGTTCAGTGTCCCTTTAAGTCTGCGGGGCTGTTTCTGTTTGTTTGGCGCCTTGATGCGCCTTGACCAGCGAGCTCTACGACAAGAAACGCTAAACATCCAGATCTCAAGTCCTCGAGGAGAGGCTTTTGCCGGGTTTTCCTCGGGAAAAAAACACGAAAAAGGGTCCTCCTTGTCCCATGAACCGCCATCGTTTTTGCATGACGTTCGCACCATCTTAGATCGTTCGCAGCACCGGTTCGATCCTCGGCTGCCACGTCTTCATGTCTGACGGATCCAGGGGGGGATTCATCAATCATTCAACGCTGTTGGAGGTTTTCCTCCCAATTTGAAAGACAACATCCTGCATCCTGCATCCTTTGGTGTCGGGGCACCAAAACCTCCACGCTTTTCGTGCGCGTTTGCTCCGAAGACGTTCCACAGACGTTGGAGGGGCAAGGCAGACATTCCACAGACGCCAAGGCAGCTTTTCGGTGGACGGACGTCTCGCGCACGCCGTCAAACACGCCGTCGAGGTCGGATCCGGATCCCGACAAGATGGGTTTCGTCTCGGAGCTCAGTGGGTGCGGACGTCGCGGCAGGAAGGGGCGCGAGGCTGGGACTCACAAGTGGTAGTGAGGTTTTGAAAGACGTTTTGGAGTACTGTTTCTATCCATTTTGGGGTACATCTTGTGGTGATTTTGTCTTTTTGTGCTTTCCAATCTGCTTTGCGGTCAGGATTCACTGCACAAGGCACATGGGACCTTGATCTTTGTCTTGGCGAGTCCAATCAAAATCTCGTCAAAAACGCTGACAGCGGGCCACTCATCTCTGTACCACGCCAAGCCTCGGTCTCCGATACCGCCGTCCACGCGGTGCCTCACGCCGTCCACGCGGTTGTTCGTTCGCCACGGCGCGATGCGGCACCGCGCGCGGTCCTCGGTGCGTCCGTCCGTCTTAAGGTGATCTCACCGAGAGGTGCAGGCTTTGTCTTTGGCCAGGATGTGGCGTCCATGCCGCTCGGTACGAAGAGATGAAGGTGTTGGGTAGGTCTCGGTGCTGAAGCCGATCGTGGCGACGTCTGACGAACATGTTTGGGGGAGAAATGGCCGCTGAAAGCAAAGCGCTTATAGTAGTAGGCTTTGGCACAAAGACCTTCCGCAGTTCTACCCAGGTGTCCTCCAATAGTCCAGCCAACCCCAAAGCTCCAAGGAGTTCTCCAAGGGTCTTAAGTCACTTGAGCAGCGCCGAAAACCTCCATGTAAGATCATGTAAGGGCTTTGTCATGGTGTTGTCCTCCCAAACCTATTGAACTCACATTTCGCCGAGCAGGTGATTCGTTCTTCACCGCTGAGCCATGGTCGCGGTGTCCCAGGTTCCTACACCTGAACGGCTTGGCACACTTGGTGCGTGCGCACCAGCTTTGCATGACCGGCTACCAGGCGCGACCGGATCGATCAATCGAGAGCTCCGAGAGATGACGAAAGTGGAGGGGCGATGGTGGAAGGTGCGCACAGCAAAAGGGGAGGGGCACTTGTTCCTGGGATTGGATTTTCTTTTCTTTTGTTGATTTGGAGGAGTGTGTATTGTAGGATATCTCACTTTAGGCGGCATATGTTGTTTTTTGGTTGCTCTTGGGGTGGCTTCTCCAGCTTCCGTGGCTTTGGGTTTCTGCTCTTTACCTTTTGATACCTTTTGATTGTGGCTTTTGGCTTTTGGTGGCCTGCAGGTTGGTTGGTTCTTGATGGCTTGCTTTTGGTGGTTCTCATGGATTTCCGTGGGATTTTGATGGCTGTTGTTGGCTTTCACTATTGGTTGCTGGCTTCTGGTGTAAATAACCTCGAAATCTGAGCCTGATGTGATTGAAAAGAAGGCCGACAACAAATCAAATCCCAAATCTGGGCCCCCACGAGAGGTGCTGGTGGAACTCAAGTCAAACCTCGTGGTTGGAGAGTCTCTCTATTCAAATTCTAATCAATTTCATCCCTGTTTGCATTTTCTCCGTCATGCCAGGTGCTCTTCGATGACAGTCTATCGACTGTGTGGAGTGCTCCAAATTATTGCCTCTGGGCTGAGATCATTGATGGGATTTGATGGGTGTGTTTGATTTGGAATTAGTTGTTCATTCATTCAGTCTAATGGCGTGTTTCATTGTTTTGTTGTGTTTTTGGCTTCTTTTGGTGGCTTTTGGCTTCTGGCTTGTGGTGTTTGCTTTTGGTGCCTTTTGACTCATGCAGCATACCAGACAAGCTCTTGATTAGTTTGGTTTTGGGGGGCAGGCGCTGCGCCCTCCCCAGCCTTCAATGCCGAAGCCAAGAAGAACAGAGGGTAAGGGCCAGAGAAGTTTAAAATTGACTTTTTGCCGGGGCAGTTCTTTGGGTTAAGCAAGCTTGCTCTTTACAAGGTTTTCTTTTTGAGATTTCAAAATCAATTGAGCCGTTTTTTCCTCCGGAAGCGTCAGACATGGAGACAACTATACCTGGGGAGCCTAATGGACAACTATTTTTGTCCATGCATCTGTTTTCTAACCGCAGGACGGAATGCAGTTTAGGTGGCCGGAACTAGAGTTTGGTGGACGGAATTGCTCCGTAGCCATTTCTGTATCTCATTTACAAGTGTGCCACTGGGGCATACTTTGGACGACTTGAGGCGCGCCTTCCGTCGCGCATTTTCACTGAGAGATCGTCAAACTTCTGCATACGATCACGGGCACAATTTAATTTTGTCAGACTTTTTCAGCTGCTCAGTAAGATCCAGAATGTGAAACTGCAGTGGGTGCTTAGCTGCCAGCTGTCTAAACTTCCCCGGCATCTTGATTTGTCATGATTTACAATATGATAGAAACAGCCGCTTCAAGATTTCCAACTATAGACAGCCTTGTCCGCATCTCAGACCAGCCCATGCAACTGCTCACATCCTCTCCGCCTTCCGAAGGTGGGCCTGTTGCGGCTTCCGATGGCGCGGCCTCCCTCGGTTTTGAAGGAGGTGCCTATTTTGGGTGATGTGTTTACCCTGTACGGAACTACACTTCGGGTCGATTCGGGTCCCATGACAATGCATCAGTATACGTAACTCTGCTGCACGTGCTTTCTCCTGGAAACCTCTAGCATTTTGCTCAAAAAAAGTGTGACCTTTCCAAGTTGTCAGTACAGTGCCATGTCCCTAGAAGGGCTTGCCGAGAAGGTCACAGGCACTCCAAATTTGAGAGATCGACTGTTGAAGGACGGTGGCCTCATCGTGTGGCCATGTGAGAAGACCGTAGGCATCGCCGCCAACCTGGAAGCACAGCGCTTGAATGCCGAACTATTGACCTTGATTGCGGACATGTGGTGCCCCCAGTACGATTCCCCGACGATGATCCCTGTGGACATGGCCAAAGATGAGGCACTAACTGCTAACTCTTGACCTAGCCGTGACCAAACAATCCCATGAGTAAAAAGTTTTAAGTAATTAATGCTTTTCACTGAAAGACTAGCCACATGCCAATTTAGTAACTTTGCCTTTGGCAGGTGAAGAAAATGCGGGAGATGTTGTTCATGTCGGACAAGCCCGGAAAAGTTCACTGCGATGGGGGTGCAATTAAGAACTTTTTCAGTGCGATCAACTCAAAGCTCTATGCTGCCAACAGCAAGAAAGACATTTAGCTTTTTCTGGCAACACTTCGATTGGTTTCCATCGCCGTTAAAGTTTGCATCCCGCTCCCCAAAAGCAATTGCATATTTGGGGCCAATTGAAAACCTGTCATGTAGTAGTTTAAACAACATACCCCTACCTGTGTCAGGACCCGGTTGTTGACCAGCTCTACGCCCACATCCGGTCCTATTGGCCTCAAAGAAGGAAGGCGGTTCGAGCGGCAGAGGATGGCTACGAGGTTCCAGAGGATACCAAGTGTGGCGAAGATGGCTTGGAGTCAAAGGAACCGGCAACGGCGGGTGAAGATGGAGATGTTGGTGACATGGAGGGCATGCAGTCGGCTATGGGAGTGCCTGCTGAACACATCAGCCCGATGCCTCCTCAGAAGTGTCCAGTGACCTCAATGCCGAAGCAGCCCTTGAGTGCGCAAGCCAGGACTCAGCGCATTCAAGAACTGCAGGCACTCCTAGAGGCCCGGAAGAAGAAAGAGACAAAGGCAAAGGCCGACGTGGTCAATCCGGATCATGTGGAGACTCTACCATGTGACCTCTCTCCTATTGCTCGCACTCATTATGGCGTTGCCCCGGCCCCGATGTCCGAGAAGTTCAATGTCTTTGAGGGGCAGATTGAGGAGGGAAAGCCTGCGCCGGTTGTCAGGGCCCAGACTATGCTGTACCAGGCTGATGCAGCTGGGCTTGCCAAGCCTGAGGATGAAACTGCTGAGCTTTTGAAAGCGAAAACGAGGAGACTCAACTCCTTTGCGTTGGAAGATGCGGCTGAGCCTTCTCCACCTAAGATGGCTAGTGAGGCCACTCCCGCTCAGGCTGAGAAGGGTGGTGAGGTGGCGGAGCCTTCTAAGGGTGAGGGTGAGCCTTCAGCAGGTCATGTTGGTGAGGAAGGTGCAGGAGGTCCCAGTCCTCGCAACCTTGGCCCGGCCTTTGAACAAGAAGCGGCATCAGTCTTTGACCAAGAGGCAGGTTTGGAACTTAACTAAAGTTCTTTTTGGGGGGGTCGGCGTGGCATCTTCTTGCAACCCTTGTTTTGCCTTTTAATCTTAGCACCTGACTGTCTGCAGTTTATTATTTTTTTGACATAATATCATATCAGAACCATAGCATTCATTGCTTTGCGCTCCAGTACCTGGTTCTTTCCCTATCCTAGAGGTGGCGCTGAAACGCCTCGAGCAGCAAGCCTGGAAGAGCGGCGTAGCTGTTCGGGAATCAATGGAGGAGGAGGAGGATGGGGACCAAGAGAATGCAGCGAAGCGATCCAAGGGTCGGGCAAAGGCCAAGGCGAAAGCCAAGGCGAAAGCCAAGGCGAAAGCCAAGGCGAGAGCCAAGGCGAAAGCCAAGGCGAGAGCCAAGGCGAAAGCCAAGGCGCAAGCAGCCAAGCGGAAGCCTGTAGAGAAGAGTAGGAAGCCCAGGGCTTCGAGGCGGAACAAGACAGCAGAGGAGGATGCAGAAGGCAACGCGGAATCGAAGATGGTGGCTGAGCAGCCACTTGGAGAGGGAATGGTCACACCGCCTCCAAAGGGGGGGAAGTTGCAAGATGAGATGGAGGTGGAGCAGAAGGAAGAGTCCCGGACAAAGGTGAAGAAGCGACCGCGGCCTGTCAATGACGCCGGCAGCAAGAAGACCTTTGCCAGGAGGTATCGCCCTTCGACGCAGTATGGCCGGGCTTTGTGGGATGCTCTCTTCGCGGCCTTTGCTTGCATAGTGGCCAGTCGATTGCCATCACCGTCGAAGCACGAGGCCTGTTTAGAAAGTTTCCAAGAATACTCAGCCAGACTTTTTAGTCTACCTGACTTCCTCCAAACACCTGTTTTGGGCCTGAAGCATGTTTCACTAAAGCCACTTTCTGTAACCTTGAGTAGGGGCCTTTGATTCCATCATTTGTGCTTTGGGAGGCGGCGTTCTGGACTTTTGCCACAAGCAAATGGGAAAATGAAGAGCTGGACACCCTAAACATGAGCCAAAAAGAGCTGGACAAGTTGGCGGAAACTGCCGCCTCTTTATTTCTTCTTGAAAAGACCGGAAAGTCGGCCAACCGTGCCTGACACAGGTAGGTTAGTAGGAGGTTCCATTAGGTTCCACACCATTTTGCTCGGAGTCTTCCTGCAGGGTAGCAAGGTGGATTGATAGAGACATACTCGTGGGGATTGTATGCCCACAGTCCACTGACTGAGCCAGCGGGCGCAGCTCCAAAACTTTTGAACATCGATCAACGACTGCTAGCTTCAAGGGACCAGAAAAGGCATTGCGCTTAAGTCGTACTTTTCCCTTTTAGCAGGTGACCTGGCAACCTTTCCTTTGTATCAAAAGATTCAAAGGATTGTCTCCATGTCATAGATTGTTGGTAGCTCAATCCTTTTGGAAACCTAGTGCCAAAGTGTTCCAAGAAAGGACAAGTGATCCTACAAGACCATTGTTGGCCCATGTTGGCGCGCCCTTTTCCCATCGTTTTTTGAAAGACATTTTGGACAAGAAAGGGCGCGCTATTTACAGGGCAATCTGACCACTTGGTTTGGGGCTCCGTTTTGGGGGCGAAGCCATGGTATTTCACCTCTACGGTTCCTTCCAAATAGGCCAGTACATAGATCCCTTCGCCCCCAAAACGGAGCCCCAGTGCAATCTAGCAGATTCTTCGAATCGACGGTCAGTTGACCAAGTTTGCATTCTCTCCCATCCCTTCCTGCCTGGATCCAGGTGCCGGTGGCTTCCATGCTTGGATGACAGGCCTCCCGAAGGGAACCGCTCAATTTGCCAAGCGTGGTCTCTTGGACAGTGACGCTGACATGTTTATCGTGTAGTGATGTGTTGGTGATTTTGTTGGCTTTGCCACAGCAGCATATTGAAAGCTAACGTTGCTGTGAGCTTGAAACCCTCTCAAGCATAGTTCGTTTTGCGGTGTGGCGCCATGACTCCGATGGATTTGGACAGTGTCCTACAACGGCTTGTTTGTTTAGGGGCACCGAAAGAGCCTTTGCTTCCTTACCTGTCTTTAATCTCAACTCTTTGAACTCTATGTGCACAAAAGCAATTGGAAACAAAAAGACAGACCCAAGTCGACACTTACAATTGAGTGTAGACTCAGGTATTGCTCCTGACGATTCTGCTGCTCTCATGGCAATCCTTCTTCGATCTCAACCAATCCCAAGAGTATGAGGTGATTGAATACTTCGCCGGGGTTGGTCGGATTGGCCGATTGAGCGCAGCCACTGGCAAGCGGGCAGCAGGGTTTGACATCGACTATGGGTATCCAAAGGTTGCTGAAGAACCGCACTCCAAGACAGCTAGGGGCCCGTCGCTAATGGACCTTACCACTGAGTCCGGCTTTGCGTTTCTGGGCGTATACGTACTGTCAACTACACAGCAAGCCTTTTCTGGGGCCTCCCTGTAACTAGCTAAGGCTTGCGCTCAGCATGACCCT